TGCGATATCGTTTGTTATCGTGGTGAGAGCAGAGGTTGTTGAGTAGTTTGGACGGAAACCGTGTTGATGATCCGCCAAAGTTAGATGCTTTGATAGGAATGGGAGAAGGCATTTTTCAAGGATCTTGACGGCTGGGCAGAGTAACGATATTGGCCTGTATGATTTTGAGTCGCTATCTGGTTTTCCAGGTTTTAACAGAGGGATGATTTTCGCTTTTTTATAGATGTCGGGAATTTTACATGTAATCAGGGAACTATTGAAGATGTTGGTGAGGAAGGAGATACCTAGAGGACCTAAATATTTGAGATTTATGATGGTGAGGTTGTCGGGGCCGGAGGCTTTCGAGGGCTTGGATTGTTTGATGGCCGTTGATACTTGATCTGGAGTAAAGATTTGATGGTCATCAAGAGGGAGGTTCTTTATGGTCCTGGTTGTGAATCTATTTAATTTGTCGGAGATGTGTGTTTTGAATGAGGTAAAGGTTTTATTGAATAGGTTGGCCATCTGTTTATTATGTTATTGGTTTGTTATTGAAAGTGATGGCATTATTTGGGTATTGTTTAGGCTTACCGTTGAGAGCCTTGATGGTGGACCATAAGCGGTTTGTGTTGGTGGATTTATTGAATGTGCTCAGGTATTCTTTCCAGCGGGTGAGCTTTAGATTATTGATTTTTTGTTGAATGACAGTTGAGAGAGAGTTGATGTTGTCTGAAGTAGGGTTCAAGGATCTGAGACTGTCTCGCTGATCCATGAGGTCCGTGATTTCTCTGGACAGCCCTGGTCATGAGAGAATTCTCCTTCCTGAAGGAATGTTGCGAGCGCTGGCGGCCGAGACAAGATGTGACGAAACAATTTCTCAGCTGCCGAAGGGTCATTGGGAGTAACAGATTTTGCGAAGGCAGTTTCGGTTTCTTCAGTGTATCTGGCCCAATTGGCCTTATTGAAATTCACGATTGTTGATTTTGGAGTTTTCGTGGGTTCCAGATAAGCGTGCAGAGTAATGTGAATAGGGAGATGGTCAGAAGACAAGGTGGTAAGTACGGTCCAGTCTATAGAAGACATCAGGGAATCTGATGCTATCGAGACATCAGGAGAAGTTGGTTGGCTGTTGTTGGGGAGACGGGTCGGAGAATCAAGATTTAACGAACCGCAATCAGAGTCATCGATCTCGACTGCCAGTACTTCACCTCGCGCGTCCTGAATGTTGGAGTGCCACAGCGAGTCGTGAGCATTCAGGTCACCCATTAAAATAGTATTCGGATTGAATAGAAGGTCGGAGATAGAGACTGTGAAGTGTGACGGGCGGACCGATTGAGGAGGTATGTAAGTATTAATGATGGTGAGATCTTTGTTATTGATGATTATGGCTTGGGATTCTATTGGATTTGAGTCAGGTAGTTGTTTGATTGAGTAAGGGATGTTATTGTGTATTAACATGACCAGACCACCGCCCTGTCCAAGACCACGGTCTTTGCGGTATAGAGAGTAGCCATCGAATTCTGGCTCTTTGGAACGGGAGGTGAGTTTGGTTTCTTGGAGTGCTGCAATGTGTATTTTGTGTGTTTCAAGGTGCTGTTGGAGTTTGTCCTTCTTGTTTTTGGTACCATTGCAGTTCCATTGGAGGAATGTCAGTTGACCGGGGGAATGAGCCACGAACCCAGTGGTGTTTTGATAGGCGGGATGAGATATTATCCTCTCAGTTTTAGAGGTTGAACTGGTTTGAGAGTGTCTCATAGACATAGCAGAGGCCGCCGAGCTGCTCGAACGGGGGTTGGGGGAAGGGCAGTTTTTACAGATGAAAAAACCGCCAAAGTCGGAGGAACAATCATGAAGATAGCACCAGTTGCAGCAGGATCTGCAACGGGCAGAGTATTGTGTTTTGTTGATCTTCATGTTGCAAATCGGGCAGATCCAGATCTTTGGTGGCCCAGGATTCGATTCAATGCCGGCTCTTAATAGCAGACAGCGGAGCAGGCTGGCCGGTATAGTCTGCTCCGAAGGCGAAAAAACCCGTGATATTGATGTCTTGTAGGGAGGGTATGTTGCAACGGTTTGTTGAACATTTGGAGAGTACCAGAATATCCAATCGGCTCCACCACGAGAAGGCCGTTGCTCCAGAGCCAGTTAATGTCGTTAGCCTACCCGGGCGAACAGTCAAAGTTGGCGGTACATTTAACAAGAGATTTTTTTTATTTACTTTTAATGACGCTGATTTAGAACTGAAAGTTAGAGAAAGGGAACCAAGAAATATTGATGAGTCGTTACGAATTGCACAGCGCCTTGAAGTCAAGATAGAGAAATGTAGATTCCTCAAGGAAGCCGTTACATTCTTGGGGCATATTATCTCTTCGAAAGGAATAGCAACAGATCCGTCGAAAACGGAAGCTGTTCGGGACTGGCCCATACCGACTTCTTTGACGGATGTTAGAGGATTTTTAGGTTTAGCTGGATATTATCGACGTTTTGTTCGTGGATTTTCACAATTGGCTAAACCGTCGAACTTTCTCCTAAGAAACAAACAAAATGATGCTGGGGATTGGAGCAGCAAAAATCTTTCGAAAATTTGAAGTCTGCGTTGACAACCACACCGGTTTTAGCTATGCCACAAGACGATGAACCTTTTGTTCTGGACACTGATGCTTCTCAGCAAACTATTGGAGCAGTTTTGTCGCAGTTGCAGGATGGCGAAGAAAAGGTAACTGCGTATGCTAGTCGAAACCTGAGTCGAGCTGAAGAAAATTATTGTACTACGCGAAAAGAGTTGCTAGCAGTCGTTTATTTTTTGAAATACTTCAAGCAATGTTTGTTGGGTAGGCATTTTACCATCAGAACAGATCATGCACCGCTGACATGGTTGAGAAACACACCCGACCCTATTGGTCAACAGGCAAGATGGTTAGAACAAATGGAGGAGTTTGATTTTAATATTATCCACAGGGCAGGTACGAAACATGGTAATGCAGATGCCATGTCTCGGAAACCGTGTAAAAAAGAGTGCTGCAAGCCGGAAACACCAGAAACACGAGCGGTGAAATAGGTTAAAGAAGTAGACGAATTTATTGACCTGAGAGAGGGTCAATATGCGGATAAGACAATCCAGGTTTTTGTTAAGTGGCTGCAGGAAAATGCTGCCAAACTGCCCTGGGACGACATATCAAGTGAGGATAGGACGTTCAAAACGCTTTGGAACCTATGGGACCGCCTAGGGATCAAAGACGGAGTCTTATGTAGACGGTTCGAAATAACAGAGACTGGAGATGTGGTTTGGCAGGCCTGGGTGCCTGCAAATATGATTAACTCTGTATTATTAACTGCCCATACAGGAATGACAGGTGGACATTTAGGAGTGAGTAAACTGAGAGAATTCATTCAACAAAGGTTTTACTGGCCAACATGGAAAACTGACGTTGAGGTGTTTGTCAAGACGTGCGAGAAATGCTGTCGATATTACCGGGGTAAGCCATCAACAACATTCGGAAAATCAGCCACCACGGAAAGCAAAAATGAAAATAATGTTGTCGGGCATGCCATGGGAAAGGGTAGCTCTGGACATCACCGGGCCACATCCAAAATCGAAGAAGGGGCATATCTTTATACTAACGATTTTGGACCATTTTTCGAAGTGGGCAGAAGCATTTCCGATACGAAAGCACACAGCAGCTACAGTGTCTAAGGTCTTAACCACAGAAATTTTTCCGAGGTTTGGAATGCCGATGCAAATACTCACAGATCAGGGTAGGGAGTTTGAAAGCGAACTATTTACTACGCTTTTACATACTTTGGGAATCGAAAAGTTGAGGACATCCCCGTACAATCTAATGGGGCGATAGAGCGATTCCATAAAACGCTTAATTCAATGCTGGCCTAAGTTGTAGACGAATCCCAGAGTGATTGGGATGAACATTTACCACACGTTATGGCAGCGTACCGGGCAAGCGTACATTCGGCGACAGGGTTTACCCCAAATAGGTTATTTTTAGGGAGAGAAAACATGATGCCAGTGGATCTGGTGTATCGATTACCTAAAGAATCCAACCTAGGTGAGACTTACCATGAATTTGTGAAACAAGTGCTCAACCGGTCATTAGTAGCTCATCAATTGGCGCGGGAAAGGCTAAAGACTTTATAGGAAGTCATTGTATGATGCTAAGGTCAAAGTCCTGACTCTACGACCGGGAGACAAGGTATGGTACCTGTACCCAAGATCATGGTAAGGCAAATCTCCAAAATGGGTCAGCCCATACGTGGGTCCATATATAGTGGATCATTTAATTCCTCCAGTCAATGCGGCGATAAAAAAAAACGACAGAGCTAAACCGTTTGTCGTCCACATAAATAAATTAAAATTGATTTGTTGATTAATTTTCGTTAATTTATTTTCATTTTTTTTAAGGTAGGATGAAACAGTGCAGCGAATGTGGGAAAAGGATGTTGACACGCAACCACAAGAGACATTTTGACAGGTGCTCTGGAGCTGGAAACAGCGCATCAGATGGCCAGCTAGTGTCACTGGGACGGGCAATCCCGTATTTAGAAAACAATACACCGGAGAAAGCGGTCAACGCTTTGAAATTATCTTTCCCGTGTATTCCGTCAAGTGAATTATGGAAAAGTTACGTAGTTGCAAGGGCATCAATGAGTGAACTGGTCGGAGCATTGACCCCGAGCTTCTCACTTGAAAATTGTACCGAGGAGCCGACACAACAAAAAAGACGGACAAGCGAAGCTAGGCGGTGGGCGAACCAGTTTATAGCTATAGTTTGCCCGTAAAAGTAGCGGGCAAACGCTTGGTCGACACACCATGCTCAACTGCCAGACCGTCGCTGGTGGACTGGATACTGAAAGGCCAGGTTTACGAGGGCGAGACTCCCTTCTCTGTAGACCAGGCTTCGACGATAGGCACTCCAGCGTGGGCAAAGGAAGACAGCGACATACTCCCAGCAACAAGCCCAGCTGTACCGAGTAAGAAGGGAAGAAAGAGGCCGTCTAGATGGGGCCCGGAATTGATGGCGATCAACGTCCCCAGTTTCGACGAGGAGCTTTGAAAGCAAACGTCGGGGCGACGTTCGATGGGGTGGGGGATGTTGTGAGGTTTTTTTTAGCGCGCATGTGGAATGAATGGCGCAAGTGTGTATGTTGGCGCGCATGTTGTGGTCAGATGGGCAGTCTGGTCGAATGTCGTATGAATTGGTTTTGTATGCAGGTTGGTTGAATGTTGGTATGGCGCATATATGGTGAGTATGGTTGGGAATGAATGTTTCTCAGTTTGTTTAGAATTTGTTTGGTATATAAACCTTTTGGACAATTGTAGAAAAAAAGGAAAGTTAGTGTTATAATTTGGTGTTTTGGAATAGAGTTGTGAATTAGTCTTTGGTTTTATCGTGGTTGTATTGGTCGGACGGTTGTTTCTTGTTTTGGGATTTCATTTGTTACGGCTGGTAAAAAATATTTTTTTTGTTTATTTAGAACATTTAATTTAGTTGACTTTAGAAACATTTGCTTTAAAGAGTATTACTTTGTTTGCTTTAAAGAATATTATTTTGTTTGCTTTAAGGAATATTATTTTGCTTCTTTTATTTTTGGTTCATTAATAGAATTATTTCAGTTAGGCTTGGTTTGTCACTTTTAAAAACTAAAACATGTTTGAAGAAAACTTGCTAGCTGTTAGTAGGGCCGGATTAACCGACCAGCAAGCAGGGCGCGATAATACTTCCGCCCGGCCGTATTTTCCGACCCGGAAATAAAAATTTGTGAAGAGGCGAGTCCCGGCCAGAAGCAAGACTGCCTAGGCTGGCGGCGGCGGCTGTTGATATTCGAGCAAAGGAAAAATTTCGCCGCACGGCAAAAGTTCACATATATATATATATTTTCACATTTTACATTAGACATTTATTTTAATTAAATTATATGTTTAAACAATATTTAGGCTCTGAAGATGGCATTACGCCGAAACAGCGCTGTTAGCTTTATTCCAGTTTTAGATAAATATGAACTCAAACAATACCGCCTCGTTGAATGTCTTATAAAGAAGTTAATTAATGCAAAATGGGCAAACAATTTCAATGAAATTTGCATTTCTGAAAACCTCGTTCCTAAATATATATATATATATATATATATATATTTGAAAAATGCATCGTCTAAATTTTAACAAATGTATATGCTAATAAATTAATTGATTCTATTACATATAAATATGAAAAAAGTATACAAAAATTTATTGTTTAAATAGCTTTTTATGCCTTACAATTTTAAGCAATAGGTGACAGTGTCGAAGTTGGATGAAAAATCTCCCACTAGGATCAAAAAATTCCCAGTCGGCCCCTTAATAAAATCCGACTCCGGGTAACAATTTTTGACTCCCGACTACGGGCTCCAAATCCAAGAAAATTTTTTTAATTTTTGCATCATACTTCCACGTTATTATCACTACTAAATAAAAATTACTTAAGAATACACATAAAATTATTCATTGTACATGTTTTTTAGTAAAATTACTTTATTTTACGTTGTAAAGCATACTGAAATAAATTATGTGATTTTATTCGCATTATTAGCCTATATTTTCAGCATTTATGATGATTGCTTAACGCTACAAATATTTTTCCTTTAAAAAACATAATTTTAAAAAAATTTCAGGAACAAAAATTTTTTTTCAAATAAATAACATTTTCTAGAGTCGGAGTCGGATGAAAAAATTTGATTCCGAATCCAGCCCCTCAAAAATATTCGACTTTGGTCCCTTAAAAACTTCTGACTCCGGCTGAAACCTTTCTACTCTCTGTTGACAAATGAATAAGAAAAATTTTAATCCGTGAACTACTATTGATGAAAATTAATAAAAACTCTTAGATCAAGCTATGGACCATTCCAGATAATTGTACCACTATAACGACATGCACTTTAGAAATGAGAGGCCATGTTAAAAAGATCGGTAGAATAGAATGGCATCCTATTGCTCGAGGAGTTCTTTTATCTGCTGGTCACGATGGAAAGGTAAAAGTTAACAAAATGCTCAATAACCTCAATCATATTTTGTTTGATTGTGTATAGTGTATTCTTTGGAACACCGAACTTGGCGAAAAAGTCATAACGTTATCACTTCATAGAGATGTAATTTTTTCTATATCATGGTGTCCAGACGGTCGATACTTTGCATCTACTTGCAAGGATAAAACAATTAGAGTTATTGATCCCAGAAGTGGCGTTGTTGTTTCAGTTAGATTTCTTACATTTTTTAATATTTTGATCTTAATATTTTTTTAGTAACATAATACTAATATTTAAAATAGTTCCATAATTGTTTGTTTTTACAATTATTTGATTAAATTTATATTATTTAAATTCTCATTACAATTTTTGATAAAAAAAAAATCTTCGGGACATTAATTTCAAAATTTAAGTAATAGTCTTTTTTTCCTTTAGCAAGGAGAAGGACACTTGGGTACAAAAAGTTCAAAGGTAATATTTGTGGATGATAAAAGGTTATTTACTACCGGATTTTCTAGAATGAGTGAAAGACAGTTTGCACTTTGGGATATCGTTAGTATTAATTCTAGCGTTGTTTCATTTATAACCATCTGGAATATCACCATTTCAACTGTTTGCGACGTCAGAAAAATTTATCGAAACCATTGAAATCAGAGAATGTAGACAGTTCTAGTGGCATTTTGTTGCCTTATTACGATAAGGACACTAAAGTCATGTTTTTAGCCGGAAAGGTTTGTGGATTATGAATAGTGCATAATTTAAAGAAATTTCAACAAAAACTTTCATGTTTTAGGGAGATGGAAACATTAGATTTTATGAAATTACTGATTTACCGCCGTACGTTTTCTATCTCCAACAATTTCAATCCGGATTTCCACAAAGAGGATTAGGTAACATTAGTTTACAATCTTTATATTTTATAACTTGCTTGACGGGCTTTTATCTCGTCCTAGAATTACACTATAATATAACTACATATAAATTTACTCATAATACCAATATTATACAAATAGATTGTGGAACAATCATGAAAAATCATATAATGTTACAAATAATTACATAATTACTGCCTTACCTATAAACTAAATTATTTTGACGCCTTTTGTTTTTCTTGGATAATAAGAGCACAGATCAAACGACAAAAAAATTCTAGTCAGAAATAAAAATAAACGATTATAAAAAATTGTCCGAGACATCAGTAACCTGAGAAATTTTATATTCTGTTAAAAGTTAACGGTATTCTCCAAGCCTTTTTGGCAGTTTTTCATACTAAATGTTACATCAGTTCCCCTTTTCACAAAGAAACATTGAGGTTCTAATTTTGGAATACTTTCCTAAAATTAAAGTAGAATCTTGAACTTTGAGTTATATTCGTCAATCTTCTAAGTTTTGATAACAAAAATAAACTAAAGCTAATTCATAATAATTGAAATTTATTATACTCTCAATGAAAAAAGTAGATTATATCAAATATTTTATAAAATGTAATTAAAATGCTAGATCGTTATGGCGAGCGACGCATGAGGCATGAAGGGGTACTTTACGCTCTTCTCACGCGTCAGTGCCGAATGAGCATGATATTGTGGTTGTTTTATTATTTCATATTTGGTTTTCATTGGCTGCCGTTTTGGATGTTAAAATAATTTTTCAATATTTTTCATTTGTCCTATTGTTCAATTTGTTTTAATTTTTAATAATTCTAACTCTAGCATTATAAACCTGTTAAGAAGTATAAACAATTCAAAATTTCATTCTATTTTAAAAGTACAAGATGAAGGACTCAAAAAAGTTATGCTGAAAATTACCTAGCTTATGTAAAAGTTTGCCCATATATAATAAATATATATATATATATATGGGCAACAACGAGATGTTGTTCTTACCTATTGGTCTCCTTGCCTCTATATTGATGTGGAGTGACATCCCACTACCACTATGATCAAGACTTTATAAATCTGTGATACGTCCAGTGTTGTTATATGGTGCAGAAACATGGCCAATGACAACCAAACTGGAACAACAACTTCAACGAACCGACATGAAAACGCTCTGATGGATGCAACGAATTAGTCTGAAGGACCACATCAAATCTACCGAAATCCTGCGTCGTGCTGGTTTAGATGATAATAAGGACGAATGCCGGCAACACCGTCTGCGGTGGTTTTGTCATGTCAAACGAAGTGGAAACAGTGCCATAACTTCTCTTGCAGATGTTGAAGTACCTGGCATACGTCCCAAAGGCCGTCCAAAAAAGTCCTGGTCGCAAACAATCGAGCAAGACATGAAAGCTCTAAATTTAAATGAAATGGATACAACTGATCGTCTAATTTGGCGCAAAAAGTTGATGGCAAAGAAAACAACGTCCTACCTCGGGAAACCGGGTCTCTGGACGCAAAACGAAGATTGATTGATTCTTCATCGATAGCATCATATTCTTCTTTGTCACTATTTACAATGCTAGTTTTTATTACTTTTTTGTTTTCGTTGTTGGTTAAGCGCCGGGTTGGAAGTGAGGTTGTCATTTTTTGTTGTATGTTTATTTTTGGTTTATTGATGTCAATTATGACTGCTTCTGCAATTTTAAGATGCGTGTAGTTGCTGTTCTGGTATATTACCGTGGTGTTACTGTCGAGGATTTCACGGCTAATAGTGATTGAGTGTGTTGTGTCCAAATGAGATTTGATAGCCCCAAAACATTATCATCTTGTTTTTGTATGAATTTTAATTATTAGTCGAAACCGTGAGTATTTAACGTTCGTGAGTCGACCGTTTAAATTTGAATTAAATTTAATACATTGATTATTATAAAAACAGAAATTTAATCATTTTTAAACATTTTTTTATTTAATGTTCACTATTTTCAACTATTTGACAAGTAATGATCTAAAAAACTTATCTAAGAATTAACTTGTATTAAATTATTTTCAATTTGATATAAATAAATAATCAAGCGCTAGAGAATTCAAAATGGGCGGAGTCAATTTATTAAAAGTACATTAGGTTTGTTTGTAAGCATGGACAATACCATAGGAACATCCATCTCCGGTTTTACTTAATATATATATATATATATATATATATATATATATATTGTTAATAATATATATTATATAGTGTTATTCACTTTATTGACATTCCTCAGAGGATAGTACTGTGATTAAATGCTTTGTTGAACAAATAACTTTTTAACTCTCTTCTGAAATCTTTTTCTGGAAAATTTGCTTCAATCTTGTTGGAAGATCATTCCATACCTTGTTCAGAGCAACATCTTCGAATTTGTTGTTGTGGATTGATGCAAGCAAGACAAACAAAATTGGACATTTTAGATAAAGTACCAAATAATTTTGAACAACGTTTGTGACACCCCTGGTTACACTGCTGACACTTGATTGAATTGTTACCTACACCAGCTTTACAAACTGAACAGGGCCATCGTCCAGTAGCTGTAGATTGGATGGGTTCACCAGTGTTCATTGCTTTGGTTTTGCTGATGTTGACTTTGAATCCATGATCGGCGAGTCTGGTGTTCCAATTTTCAAACATCTGTGCTGCATTCTGCTTAGACGTGGTTATTGAAACGATATCATCAGCTTATACTAGATTCCAAATGTCACCAGTCCGTATCGGTTTTGTGATTTCTTCCATCACGGTTATAAATAACAGTAGACTGAGAATCGAGTCTTAGTGAACTCCAACGCCGATGTCAAATGCATCTATGTTTCCTACCGTTGTGCTGACGAGAGTCTTAGTATTCGTATACATTTCCATCACAAATGCTTTTTCAAGGTCTACAAAAATGTGTGATAGTTGTTGATGCTCTACGAGGTACTTCTCTTGCAGTTGCCGAAAGATGTGAATTGCGTCAATTGTTAATTTTCCCGCTAGGAAACCAAATTGAGAATTTCCGATTGTGATGCACGACGTTAGTCTTCTCTCAATGATTTTCTCGACAATTTTCAGGGAGTGTTCTAACAGACGTATATCCCGATATGATGAACAGTTCAATGGATCACCTTTGCCTTTGTATAAGCGGGACTGTCATGCTATAGTTCCATTCAGTCGGCATTGAGTCATTTGTGAGTCCAGAGGGCCCGGCTGCCTTTCCATCTTTCATAGCTTTCAGAGCTTCTATAAACTCCTCTACAGAGATTTTATTTGTTCATTTCTGATTTTTTTTAGTGAGCCACTCTCTGCACTGATCTGTCCGAGCCAGTACGACTTGACGTCTTGCATAGTTCTTCTTTCGGAAAATTTTGTGGTCATCAACTGACTTTGATTTTTGTCTATGCTTGTATGCAGCTTTCTTCACAGCTATTGCATTTTGAACACTTTTCGATGAATATTGCTTTTCAGTTTCCACGTTTTGATTTTCTGAGGCATTTGTTTAGACTTATGTTTTGACAGTTTGACAACCAGGTCTGCCACAAGGAGTCTATGTTGGGCGACACATGAATCGCCAGGTATAACTTTGACATTTTTGAATAGCCTTCTGTGCTGTTGCTTGACAGCGAAGAAATCAATTTGCCTGGCTAGTGGTCCACTTTTGTATGTTATGAGATGTTCCAACCTCTTTTTTTAAATATGTGTTCAGTAAACAAAACCCATGACAAAAATTCCAACACCATTTATGGCGGTTTTTTGACCAGCATATATTAGATTCCAAATGTCATCAGTACGTATCGGTTTTATGATTTCTTCCATCACAGTTATAAATAACAGTGGACTGAGAATCGAGCCTTGGTGAACTCCAACGCCGATGTCAAATGCATCTGTGTTTCCAGCCGTTGTGCTAACGAAAGTCTTAGTATTCGTATACATTTCCATCACAAGTCGAACAAGATATTCTGGAATGAGTTGTCGACGTAGACTCCACCTGATTGCTTCACGGAAAACTCGATCAAATGCTTTTTCAAGGTCTACAAAAATGTGATAGTTGTTGATGCTTTGCGAGGTACTTCTCTTGCAGTTGCCGAAAGATGTGAATTGCATCAATTGTTGATTTCCCTGCTAGAAAACCAAATTGAGAATTTCCGATTGTGATGCACGACGTTAATCTTCTTTCAATGATTTTCTCGACTATTTTCAGGGAGTGTTCTAACAGACGTATACCCCGATATGATGAACAGTTCAATGGATTACCTTTGCCTTTGCATAGTGGTACTGTCATGCTATAGTTTCATTCAGTCGGCATTGAGCAATTTTTCCAGATTTCACGGCAAAGTTGTAGTAACGTTTGGATACCTGCAGTACCAGATGCTTTGATAATGTCATTTGTGAGTCCAGAGGGCCCTGCTGCCTTTCCATCCTTCATTGCTTTCAGAGCCCCTGTAAGCTCATCTACAGTAATGTCTGGAATCGGACCTTCGATGGGTGGAGCATCAAAGTTGACATTGATGGGATTTGTTTCATTTAACAGACTGTTGAAGTATTCTCTCCACTGTAGCTTGATCTCATCTTGTTCAAGAACCATCTCATTTTTGTCGTTTTTGATACACAAGGCACCAACTATGTCTTTTTTCGTACGCTTTGCTTGTTTTGCTATACGATACAGAGGTTTCATTTGTTCACCTTTGCTTTTAGTGAGCCACTCTCTGCACTGATCTGCCCGAGCCAGTGCGACTTGACGTCTTGCATAGTTGTTCTTCTCACGAAAAATTTTATGGTCATCAACAGACTTTGATTTTTTCCATTGCTTGTATGCAGCTTTCTTTTCAGCTTTTGACCATTCCAAAATAGTTTATATTTTTTTTTGTCTAAATTGATATGACAGACACCATTCGATTTCCACCGGGTCTCCTGAAGGCAGCAGATGTCAATCCTTCTCCACTCGAGCAATTCTGCGTTTTCCATGCTGCAGCCAGTCATTGATCCAACATTGAGCGTTCCAAGTCTAAGTACCATAGATAGGCCATTCTAAATTTTTCTGCAACATCCCTCCGCTATTGCATACTTTCCTGGAATTCTTAGCACCCTTTGACCTGCTGGGGAATAGGGGCCGTTGTTTTTGTTTGTGATGGCATGGAATAAATTGGGGGGGAATTTTTTACATCCGGACACCCATACAGACGACAACCACCAGTTATAAGCGGTGGGCCTAGCCTTTTGCTCAAAAGCACGCAAGGCAGCGTGGATGCAGTTTTATGTGATGCCCAGGACGTAGACAGTAGATGATGATGTTATACGCGTTTTGTGTGTTGTTGATTAATCTGAAAATTTTTGAAGTGTTTATTGATATCTTCACAATACACTCATTTGGTTTAACCTTTTATTAAACAAACAAACAATTTTACGAAAATTGGTCATATTATCAAAACATTTCTCTGGAAAAAACCCTATGTTTCAAAATGAATTGGCTCCAATTTCATGGAATGGTTATGTTATGATTCCATTTTTCAAAATTGCAACAACGTTTTGTACCATTAATTCTTTTGATGATCTGTTGCTATGGTGCTTTTAAGATCTAAAATTTTAAGACTAAAATTCTTATTCATCAAGTTTCAAATTTTTTTTATTCCATTGAAGTATTTAATGTTTCATTACTTGTTTCTCAATTATTGTAATCATATCACAATATAGCCTGGATTAAAATAAAATTAGGAAGATATTATATTTATTTCAATCAACTTTTTTAATGCGGAAGATATAAAAATGTTTTTTCTTTTTATTGCTTTTACGATATTTGCCAACTATTTTAAATATTTTTTGAAGTATCTTCAATTTGGTGGCTTTAAAATAAAACCGTAAAGTAAATGTTAAATTTTTTATGGGAATGGAAGACGGTAGTTGTGGTCGAAAATTTTTACTCAGAGTCAGAACATAACATTTTTTATCCGAAACCCTATTTAAAATTAGGCAGAATTTTTTTGGTTATTCTGGAAATTATTTAATAATTTTTGCGAAAGAAGAAAACCGAAAAGCTCGGAACGAGTGAGCTCTAGAAACAGGATCGATGTTGAACGAAATAATTATTTGAACAACAAAAAAACTTTGAAAATTAGTAAAAAAAATAAGAAATGTAAAATTATTACAACTACAGGCCGAAAAGCGTGAAACGGTTTTAAAAACTTTGGCCGCCTCGAAAAAAATTTGAACATTAACCGATTTCAATTTGATGAATTAAAAAAGATCAAACTTTTTTCACTTATTTTATCTAGGTAAGACTTGGTAAAATTGAGATTTTTCATTGTTGTAAGTGGCATACCTTCTAATTTAAAATTAAATCTATGTACGCGATGATCAATTTTTTAATTTAAATGGTAATTCATATTTATTGATACTTGTTTTTGACGTTGAACGTATTCGTTTTTCGATATAGTATTTTAGCGATGTTCATAGCAAATATATTTGTAACTTTTTCGATAGATTGTTTTGGTGTAAAACATCCAATTAAAATTTTTAAATGTTTTTTCTACTGAATTATGAAAAAAATTTTATCATAACTCAATGATACGACTGGGTTGATGTAAAAGTTTTAAGAATAATTGTTTCGTTGTAGCATTAATGTTTTCCAGTAACTTTAATGGTTTCAGTATGATTTTACGTATACCTAACGTAGGACAAATGCCAAAAAGAGGGGTTGATGTAAAAAGGTGTGAAATCGTACGGTTCTTTAAGCTGCATACTAACAAAGACATTTGTGAGCCCATATCTATGATTGTACCAAGGAAGGTAATTAACGTGTGATAATGATAATGATTTAGTGATAATGAAAAAGTCTATTTTATTTATTATGAATTTTGCAATTTATTATTGGCTGGTATAACTAATAATAATCAGATTTTTTTTTCTATTTTTTAAATTTTATCCTTCATTTAATTGGTTAAGTTTATTTCTTTAAAGTCAAGTATTTAATTTTTGGTTTCCTTATCAATGCTTGAAAATGTCAATAGTGGAAGCTTTTAAAAGACTTTCCTTGAGTGGTATTTATTACCATGAAAATAGTTTTTTTTAGTTACAATACAGATAAAAATAAATCATAATTAAAGTATTAAATATATGATGATTTATTCTTGCCGAAATAAAAAAATACTATATTTTTATCACCTATAGTCGGAAGTTTTCCATGAAGACATTTATCCTCCTACTTGTTCATCACTATCTTCTTGTTTATCTGCCAGTGAATGGTTCGGCGGAGTTAACAAGCTGCCTCTATTGATTTCTTTGAAAGTGTTTAATTAATTTATTATTTTAATCATTAGATAAATTTTTTAATAATTTTCAGTTAAAAAGCTTGAACATAACACTTATATTAAATTCTACAAATTTTACAGTTTGAAACTCCGTCTTTAGACAGTAACCCAACAACGGGGTTTAATGACACAAAAAAAGAACTTCAGCAGTGTGAAACAGAGATAAAAAATGTTTTATTGAGGAAAGGTAGCGGCACAGCAACCGGACCTGCTACTGGATCGAAACAAGTAACAAAAATACCTGATTCTCTCAGAAACATTCATAGACTGTCAACTTGTGAAGATTTTGTTGGGAATTTGGGGTAAATATATGATTTGTATTTACGATGCACTTCACGCGTTTCTAAAGATTGAATTCATTTTTTGAAATTTTTTTTTATCTAATTTTTGACTAATTAAATTGGCTAATCTAGATGTGCCGCGTCGTTGAATTCCAGTATGATTTCTACTGATTCTTTCAAAAGCGGCTTTTACAATGTTCCGCATGTGAAATTTATTGCTCCGAATGATAGCGATGGGGATCACGACAAAAACTTAAAGGTTGGGTTATCATCGCAGGTATTATACATGGGCGTTACCCACCACTTTGCTAAAAACTACCGAAGTATCAAAAAACATTACTCTGTGTACCAGTAAGTAATAGCACTAAATATTTACCGATGACATAAGTACTAACAATTACCGGAGCATCGAATATATTATAAATTTTTGTGCTGAAAATTTACAGATTACTGAAAACATACAAAATACCATTAACAAACTAATGTAGTGAAAAAATTTATTACTACCATAGGTTTAAAAACAGAGTTTTGTCTTTATTTTCCTGTTCATCAATTTTTTTATTCCAGCTGATAAATTTTTTTTTCCAATGCCAAATTTTCGCATGTTAAAAACAATGATTTGGAATCCAAATCGTCAGTTTTCAATTCTAATTGAACATTTCTCTTTTTTATATTTGAATTTTCGTTTCCCAAGTTTTCAACTCTTTTCACCAGTGTTTCCAAAAACTTGAAATAAACTGAAAATTTTAATTAATTTGAAATACTATTAAGGCCACGAAAAAGTTTTTTAGAATGATTTGTCCTAAAATTATTGCGTAACTTATTCAATGATTTCATTATATTAATTAAAGGACTACAGCAATAATACCGAGTACGTGGGTTTGGAATATAAAAGTATGAAGCATATCGCAGGTTCCTTGCTGAAGTAGACAAAAAGCTATCATCTCGTAAAGAAAGAAGACGTTTTTAGAACCATGAGGGAAAAAGAGAAAAAATTTTTTAGTATATTTAACTGAGAAATGTCAAGCATGTTAGCATTTTTGAAGTAGTGACTAACGCTTTTAATTTTTTATATTAAATATAACTTTTGAAAAAAAAATTTTAAACTTTTGTAGTCATAAGCAAATGATAAATAATAAATTAAGTAAGGAGGGGTTAACAGTGAACAGTATAAATTTTAAAATCTTGAAAGAATTTATAAAATTACTTATAAAAATATTGAACGGGTGAGGGCCAAGGATTGAGTCTTGGAGGACGCCCTTGCATAGGGGTAATGAATCAGAAGAGACTATCAAGTTGTACATTTTGACGACGATTTGTGACGAAACTTTTGAATCAATTTACAGCTGGATCGCAAATACCATAATGTTATGTTCAAGTTTATTGAAAAAAATAGAGTGATTGAGTGTGTCAAAGGCTTTCAGATATATGATAAACTAATTTAAAAGCAGCAAGGTATTTTTATGATACTAAGTTCATTTAAAAATTAGTTAAGTTTGACATTTTTAATAACATCGATAAAATAATTCGAAAAATTGAAAAACTTAGTTACAAACTCAACAATGCGGAAAATGCGATGATATTTCTTAACAATTATATATATATATATATATATATATATATATATATATATATATATATATATATATATATATATATATATATTAGATTAAGATTGTCAAAAATGCAATTATTGATAAAAATCACAACATGTATCGCTTTAGTTAATTTCCTGTTTAATTTTTCGATTTTACCCACGGTAGATCGTAAATCATTGTCCAGTTTTTTGAGTTCAAAACTAAATTTTTGTTTATTTTAAGCATGATAGAACATTTATGCATGATAGAACAAAAAGGCTTTTTTCGGTATTCCTATACCATCTTCGGTGTTCGAATTGATACGTTTTGCATGTGGCCGAATGCTCAAGTTTTTATATCCTGTACCTCTACAACCTTAATTTTTTGTTTAATGTAAATGTTTAACGGTCATTCGATTCCACTTTGAAAAAACGCTTCCTCGCTGGGAAACAGCACATTGATTCCGTTTAACGACGAGCAATAATTCGTAGACAAGAGAATTAATAATGTACAGTGATGTAATTCAGTTTACGCGCGTTTGGCTGATATGCTGCCTCATAAACCTTTGCTGATGAATTACATACTTTACATACTTCGTTGCTGTAATTTATTTGTAAAGCATAAAAATGATGGGATTATATTAGCGAATGTTTGTTTGTACCCCAAAAATGTTTTTTTCGAAAATTTTTGTTTTACACTGCAAGTAGCCAAAAAAAGCCAGTTGTACGGGGACTAGTTGTCCGGGAGCGAGTTGTGGAGGGCGAGTTGTGGAGGGCGAGTTGTCCGCAAACCGTTTCTTTGTTGGTAGTAAAGTTATTGCATTCTATTGTATATTTATTACAAGGTTCTTTCTGTTTACATAACGTGCATCTGCAGTTTTAATTTAAAAAGTATTCCTATTGCGATACAGCGCAATTTTGTCATTGGTCAAACGGGTCTTTACACATTTAACAGATTTAGACGATAGAACAAAAGAATTGAAAAGAGTGACCGAGCTGTTAATTAAAAATTGTTATAAAAAATCATTCATTGATTTGATAATCTCAAAACTAAGGCAACAAGATGATAGAAACCAAAATTTTAAGGACATTATATTATAAAAACTTTATGTCTACGTCATATAAAACGGATGAAAGGATATTAAGAAATATGATCATGAAGAACGTCAAAATAATCAAATGTAATGACAAATTACAACTCAGAATTAATTATGCCTTGTTCTTAAAAATAACTGTGATAAGAAACAAGTCAATAATGAAGAGTAGTCACCAGATATTTTTTTTTAAATGTTCTATCGGTGAGTGTGAGCACCAAATTTCAGAATATATCGGATACACCACCACTACATTGACACGATGATTAAATATGCATACACAAAGATTATCACGGAACAGCAATTACTAGAGAGATACCCCACAATAACACAAAAATACTGTATCGCAAATATACAACATAATGCAGTAACTTCACTACCGACAAAGAAACTACTAATAAAGGGAATTAATGGATCAACGCAAAGTGAATTTTTGGAGCCAATAAAGTAGGAACGCAAAGTCAATTTTTGGAGCAAATAGAGTAGGAACGCACAGATATATAAGATAGAACCAATATTTGATAGCATACTACATTAAAAGTGGTAAAGGATTACCGAAAAAAAGCTTTTTCTGTTTAAGATAAAAATGAATTAAAAAAAATTTAAAAAACTTTGTTTTCTATATAAATAAGTTAAAAAAATGAAGTTAAAAATACGATATTGAAAAATTGAACCAAAAACTGATCAAAGTTGAAAATGCAGTGACGACATTTCTAAACAATTGTATCTGCGACAGTCTTAACCCTAATTTTATATATATATATATATATATATATAATGAATATTTATATAGCGCAAACAAATTAAAAAATAAACAAATTTTATCAAAAATACTCATTAAATCAAATAATACAAAATTCATCACAATGTAAATAAATGAGTTGTAAGCATTTTTCTAAATATTAACAAATTCTTATCACGTAATGGCTTGGGAGAATTGAGAAATTCTAGTACGATAAATAGAAAAATTTCTGGATACTATTTTCAACTGACTCGTTTGTACGGTTGGATAATTTAATTCATTGAAACGCAGATATATTGAATTTGGTACTCTAGGTGTTATCAACTTTGTCAAATATTTTGGTGCTTTTGAATATCAATAATACACATATGTTGAAAATAACACGCTTTTTGACATTCTGCCAAGTGAAGCTGTTCTAAAATCGGATATATGCTGTCGTATCTTTTTAGCCTCAGATAAAATTCTAGACAGCTAGTTCCCGAATATTGATTGTGAATTGATTATAACTTTTTCATTGATTTTTCAGGTAAACCATTGAGCATTTACAGTAGTTCAAGGGCGAGTATGGGAACGCATGGATTATCATTTGAAGAGTCTAAAAATTTTTATTTAATTTTAATTTTTGCAATTGCAAAATAAACAAAATGTAACTTAAATCAACATTGACACCTAAACTGGAGGCATTTAAAAAGAATCTGACTGCAACATCATCAATCTTCGTTTATAGTCTTCATCGGTTATGAGTCGGACTTTTTTATTCCATTTATCAGTTTCTGTCTCCAAGCCGATCTATCCATTGCGTCTGTCTCCTTGAGACCAAGTACCATCAAATCCTCCTGTATGGTCTGCGTCTAGGACTTTTTTGGGCGACCTCTTGGGCGGTGCCAGGCACTTGGTGCTCAGTAACGGAAATGATTGTATCGTTTTTGCTTCGCTTCACATGGCCAAACCACCGTAGACGATGACGACGACATGGATTCTTCAACTTGCACAGTCCCGGTCAGTTCAGGATCTCGGTTGTATAGATATGGTCCCTTAGGTCAACATGTTGCATCCAACGAATCATCTTCATGTCAGTTCGGTGAAACTGCTCTTTGAGTTTTGTTGTCATCAGCCACATCTCTGCACCATACATCAGAACAGAACGTATAACTGTGTTGTATAGCTCTGAGCGCAGCAGTAAAGGAATGTTACACCGAATCAATACCGAGGCAAGGAGGTGCCATCTGCTCCACGCCGCACGTATGCGTCCACGAACGGCGGCTTTAGCTGTTCCTGTACAATCCAGTACATCTCCCAGGCATCTGATCCAGTTGCTTCCAACTCCAGCCTCACAAACCAAACATGACCAATGACCAGAGACCACAGGCTCAGCGGTGCCCCCGGTGATCATAGTTTTTGTTTTGTCAAGGTATACCTTTAGCCCATGTTCGGCGAGCTGGATATTCCAGACCTCAAACTTTCTGGCTGCGTCTTGTTCCGAGGCCGCCGTCAGGACGATATCATCTGCATATATCACATTCCATATGTTATCTGAGCATATCGGTTTGGTTCTTTCTTCCATCACCGTGATGAAGACGAGGGGGCTGAGTGTTGATCCCTGATGGAAGCCGACTTTAATTTCAAATTCATTCGTGTTACCGGATGTTGTGCTGGCCAGAGTTTTTGTGTTAAAGTACGTTGCCATGACCAGCCGAACCAGATATTCTGGAACAAGCTGTCTACGTAGACTTCACCTGATTACCTCACGAGGCACTCCGTCAAAAGACTTTTCCAAGTCCACAAAGACATGAAACAGTCGCTTTTGCTTTGCCATGTATTTTTCCTGTAGTTGACGAATGATATAGATAGCATCAATGGTGGATCTCTCTGCCATGAAGCCGTTCTGGTAACCACATACTGAAAAGCACGACAAATCTTCTCTCAATGACTTTTCAATAATTTTGAGGGGTGTTCCAGAAGACGTATACCTCGAAATGAGGCGCATTTTAGTGGGTCTCCTTTTTCTTTATATATCAGCACAGTTGTGCTACTTTTCCACTCCACTGGTGGTATCGATTTACTCCACATCTTCTGACAGATGTGTAAGAGGACTCTGAAGCCTGTCCTACCAGATGCCTTGATGATATCATTTGTAAGTCCAGACAGACCAGCTGCTTTACCCACTTTTATTGCCATCAACGCATCAGTAAGCTCCTGAGCTGTGATGCCCTGAATCGGTTTTTCCACCGGAAGTGCATCAAAGTCCACTCCAATTGGGTTTGTTTCATTCAATAACTGATTGAAGTAATCCTTTCAGTGATCCTTTACTTCGTTTTACAAGGTTATTATGGTGCCTTATTATTCTTTGTGCATGTGGCACCAACTTTATTCTTTTTCAGTCTTTTGGCCTGATTTGCTATTTGGTAGAGTGACAGAATTTTTTCGTTTTTACTTCCAGTCAGCCATACGTTGCATTGGTTTGCATGAGGTATCGCAACCTGACATTTCGCTTCTGTGTTCTTTGATCGGAATGTCTTTTGATCTTCATCAGTCTTCGTCTTTTGCCATTGTTTGATAGCTGCTTTTTTACTGGCAATAGCATTTTGCACCGTCTCGTTCCACCACCAAGTTTCGCGGTTGTGCTGGCGTTTTGGTTCAGATTTTCTACATACAGCTGTTGCAGCGTTCACTAGGGTGTCTTGAAAAGATTTCTAGGTTATGTCTACCTTCTCCAGACGATCAAGCTGTGCCGATACCAACTTATCGAATTTCTCCCTAAACATGCGGTTCTTCAGTTTCCATGCGCTTATTCTAGTAGGCATTCGGTTAGTCACAGGGCGTGATCGTTCCATGATCATATCAGCCACCAGCAATCAATGTTGAGAAATGCATTCTGCGCCTGGAATGACTTTTGTATTCCTGAATAGTCGTCTGTGTTGTTGTCTAACGACATTAAAGTCAATTTGTGTGCATGACATTCCGCTTTTATATGTGATCAAATGTTCTGCCTTTTTTTTGAAATAAGTGTTCAACATCGTGAGTTTATGGTTTTCAGCAAATTCCAGAGTCCTTACACCGTCTTCGTTTTGAGACCCGTAGCCAAAGCCTCCATGGACACCGTGGAACCCTTTTTTTTATCTCCAACATGGCCGTTGAGGTCGCCACATATCAATGGTATCTCTTATGATGGTGTTTTCCTGACGGCATCTGAGAGTGTGTTCCAGAAGTCATTTTTGGTATTTTCAGATTCACTGTTTTGTGGTACATATGCAGAGAAAACAGTTAGAACCTGTTTTCCCATTCTGAGTTTAATCAGCATTAGGCGTGAGCTGATTCGAACCACCTCCGGTACATTTTGTGCCAGTGATTCCCGTATGAAGATTCTCACTCTATTTTGTCTTTTGGCCATTCCAAAACAACTTGTAACTCCCAGTGAGAGAGAGAGACACCATTTAATTTTCATCTTGTTTTCTGTAGAAAACAGATGTCAGCCCTTCGCCTTTTCAGCATGTCGACGATCTCCATGGAATTCCCAGTAAGCGTTCCAGTATTTAAAGTGCCAAGTCATATTTCAGGAGGGGATGCCAGATTTTCCGCAACATTCTTCTACTGTTGCGTACTTCCTGGATATTGTCATTCCTTGCCCAAATAAGGTCTCCAGGGAATAGGGAATCTTTTGATTTTTGTGATAACATGGAAGATGTTTGGGTCAAAAAATGTTTATATCAGGAATTACCTAATTTCTATCGAAAACCACCAGTTATAAGCAGTGGGCCTAGCCTTTTTGCTAGAAGCCCACAAAGCAGCGCTGTTGCAGTTTATCTCGTGCCCAAGAGAGCACTGTTGTAAGCAGTGCACCTAGTCTTTGGGTCAAAGATTCCTGTTCCACAAGGCAGTGGATTTAGAATAGAAGATCATCCGCTGTTGGGGCCGTTGTCCTAGGATCCTCCGCCTCTTTCACTGTTGTCTTTTTTCATTTGGTACAGTTGGTACGCCTCATAGCCAATGCACCCCAGCATGATGGATCAATGTACAAAAAGGACACACATGAATTCTAAAGAGTGGTTTCTAGGTATTCGCTGCAACCAATTTAGTTATACTCTGGTTGAATTTCAATTTATTGTTTTCCATCCACATATTGACTTCCGATTGAATGACTCTGGTTTCAATCTTATCAAACTCATTAGGTGGGCCACTGACAATCATCTGTAAAAACATGACATGCAAAATTTAATGATCTAATTATATCAAGAACTTCGTGTATTTATAACAGGAATAATATTGGACCCAGAACGGACCCCTGTGGACACCTTATTTTATATCATATATTTCAGAGAATGTGTTTCTATTAGTGGACGCGACATCCCACTACCACTGCTATCAAGACTTTATAAATCTGTGATACTTCCGGTGATGTTATATGGTGCAGAAACATGGCCAATGACAACCAAACTTGAACAACAACTTCACCCAACAGATATGGAAATGCTCCGACGGATGCAACGTATTAGTCTGAAAGACCACATCAAATCAGCCGAAATCCTGCGTCGTGCTGGTTTAGATGATCTAAAGGACGAATGCCGGCAACAATCGAGCAAGACATGAAGGCCCTAAATTTAAATCAAATGGATACAACTGATCGCTTAATTTGGCGCAAAAAATTGATGGCAAAGAAAACAATGTCCTACCTCGTGGGAACTGGGTCTCTGGACGCTAAACGAAGATTGATTGATTGATTGATTGTGTTTCTATTTAAAAAAACGTGATGTTTTCGATTCAGCAAATATGATCTGAACCACATAAGCGCCGAGCCTTTAACACCAAAATCCTGATACAATTGTTTGAGCAATATATATATATATATATATATATATATATATATATATATATATATATATATATATATATATATATATATATATATATATGTAGATTTTCGCCGGGTGACATCCGAATTCCGCACCACGCGGTCTCGAACCGCGTCCGCATACGAATATCCACCCGAGCCTTCGCTTCGGCGGAGTCTTTCCTGGCCGGGATCCGCCACTCTACAATAGACCCTTTCAGGGTCTGAAAACACGGGCTGGGCGAAAGTTTGTTCGCGCCCTGCTTGTTGACTAGAGACGCCGACCTCGTCAACTATCAGCAAGTCTTTTTCAACATCCATTATTTTAGGTAGAATAATTAAGCCGAGCCAAATTTCAAGTGTACACTTTTTTTATTCAATAAAAGAAACAAAATAACAAACAAAATAATACAAATCAAACCTCTGTCTTTATTAAAAAAAACGATAAATCCAAAATTAATCTATTAATAATATAACTACCAAGCTAGAAACAAAACCTAAAATAAAAATAACAAACGACCAGCCTCCTATATCTCAACTTGCGGCCTTGTATATGTTTTCACCGCCCTATCTACATAACGCTTTCTATATCATAGAAAATTCTATACTCACATCTATACTCTTCCTATACTCACAACAGCGCGTAGCACGCGTCCCATATATTGCTATACTCCCTATATACAAAACAGCACAGCAGCGTCGCATATATAGCATATCAAATAACAAAATATACATGCATAGAATGTCTATTAAAATATATAGATATATACAGGCGGCACGCCTCAAAGACGCAATCATTATCATCACAATCGTCACAATTTCACAAAATATACAGGCGGCATATTTTAATCGCGCAATCATTATCATCACAATCGTCACAATTTCACAAAATATACAGGCGGCATATTTCAATCGCGCAATCATTATCATCACAATCGTCACAACTTCACAAAGCTCCCCACCCTCCAAAACGTCCCGACGTTTGCTCTTATAAATCTTCACCAGACTCAGGAACTTCCACCATCCATCTTTTTAGCTCCGGTCCCCACCTCGTCGGTTATCTTCTTTTTTTTTTGTTGTGGTCGTCGTGCTCAATTGATTTTCCGTCGGTTGCTGATTTTTTTTCTGTCGGTTGTTCGTCCAGACCAGCGAACAGGTCCATCGATGGCTGATTACCTACGGCAAACAAATCTGGTCGCTGATCAAAGAGTTCGTCAACAAGCCTCACAAGTTCTGGAACGATGTCCGGCTGCCCTGGTAAAAATTCTGGCGTATCTTCGCCTGTCCAGGTTTGGACAAGCGACTCGGTCGACTCGTCGTTACTTCGTGATGGTACTTCTGTTGGCTTCTCTATGGAATTGTCTTCTGTGATGTCTTCAGGCTTAACCTCCGGCATTTGGAATGTCATCAGTTGATCGGCGAGTTTCCTTGCCTGGTCCGCTTTTTCTCTGCGCCTTTTGGGTTCATCTATACATCCATGGAGGGAAAATGCTGGCGCCAGTTCTGTCAGCATTTCGCTAATGGCCGCCCTCGCCACCAAATATCTTCTTCTAATCTCTTCTGACGATATCGTAGGAAACAATCTCTGCAAAAACAACAAAATTTTATTATATTATATGACGATTTGAGATCCAGAGTAGAAAACCATTGCGCTCCTGACATTGCATCCAAACACGTCAATTCTCGGCAAGGGGTACGCATCTTTAACCGTTAGCGAATATTCAGTTTCCTATAATCTATACAGCATCGGTACGATCCGTCTTTTTTCTTTACTAACACGACGTTGGATGACCAGGGACCATGGGCTGGTTCTATTACGTCCTGTTCAAGCATCTCGTCAACCTGTTCCGCGATCACCTTTTGATGCGCCGGAGGATGTCGTCTCGGCTGTTTTACCGGTCGTGCATCCTGAGTATCAATCTTATGGAAGACTCCTTTTGCAGCACCTATTTCTCCACTTGCACAGCTGAATCTGTCTGAAAAACTTATAAGTATTCGAGTCAACTCTTCTCTTGCTTCTTTAGGAATATCTTTTACTAATCCATCAACTATACCTGTTACTTCTGTTAGATTTTCATATGCTAGACGATCAACTGATTCCTTTGCTTCCACAGCCGATGATAAATCTGACAATCGCGTTCCCCGGTTTATCACCCTCGGTTGATCGTTGACATTCAAGTTTGAGATTTGCAGGTCTCATTCTTCTGAGAACATTTGACCGCAAGATGACCTGGCTTCTTACAATTAAAACAAATTTTTTCTCGCTCAACTCGGGATACCGTTGGCTGCACTCTTTTATTTCTGAGTTCTTCGAATGACTTTTGAAGGAACGCAATCTGTCGTACCATCGACTCCATGTTTTCTGCTCCTGCTTGAAAATCTTTAACCTGCGGGTCAAACCTATGAGATGAATCTACCACCATCTTTGAAACTTCAAGACGCTGTGCAAATCTAAGAGCATCGTCAATGTTTTTTGGTTCTTTTTCCCTAACCTTTAACTCTAATTCAGCATTATCGAGGGCTGACAAGAAAAAGGCCCGAGCTAGATGTGTAGCTAATCTTGACTGCTCTCCTGGATAGGCTAATGACATGAGTCTTTTAGTAACCATCGACAACTCTCGTAACGACTCACCAGGTTTTCGACGAAGAATCTGTAATTCGTACCTGTATGACTCTTCATGACCTCTTGTTCCAAAACGATCTTCTAGCTTAGATACCAGCTCTTGGTAACCTAAACCTGTTAAATCCCAGAGAACCTGTGAAGCTTCACCTGTTAACGAACATGACAAATACGCTTCCATGTCTACGAGATTCCAATTATTGTACCTGGCACATATCTCAAACTTTTTTAAGAAAGTTTTGAGACAACCGGTGCCATCAAATCTGTCAGGTCGAAGCAATTCGCGACGACAAAAGTTGTTGTCACGCTCGGCACCTATACGCGATTGATGAACCTGAGACTTCACACCAGTTGAATGAAGCGGTTCCCGACTGTCACACGTCGACTCGTGTTTAGCTGTGTCTCTCTCTCTCGCTCGGTCGCTCTGCACCTGTTGCTATTACCTAAAATTTTATTTCGCTGTCGATCGTGTTCGGTTTTTCTAATGATTGACGCTGACCTACTGGACGCTAATCGCAGCTCATTCAATCCGAAATTCTGCAACTTTGGATCACCCTGGCACCTAAAACCTGCAATGTTGAAAAAGAAGCCCCACGTTTGGCGCCAATTGTAGATTTTCGCCGGGAGACATCCGAATTCCGCAGGCGGCACACCCCAAAGACGCAATCATTATCATCACAATCGTCACAATTTCACAAAATATACAGGCGGCATATTTCAATCGCGCAATCATTATCATCACAATCGTCACAATTTCACAAAATATACAGGCGGCATATTTCAATCGCGCAATCATTATCATCACAATCGTCACAACTTCACATATATATATATATATATATATATATATATTGGTAATAGACCATAATTTTTACAATATTCTATA